TGAGCTCGTGTGGCTGGGCCGGCCTCACCCCTGAATTGCTCCAGAACCTGGTTCTCCCCAGGCTGCTCCCCATGAAACACCCCATGTACTCTCTGCCTCCCAACACCCCCCACCCCATCAGCACCACCGTTTCCACTTGATGTTTCTGAGTTTTACCACTTGACATTGATATAAGTCATAGACAAGATCAAGATCAAATCAAGGTCAAATCCCAGAGCGCAGACCTTGCATGTCTGGTTTCCTTGTGCTTAGCAGCTCCAGGCAGGAGACTCTTTTACATTCGTCCAGGACATGCAGTAGAACCTTCCTCCGTTTTAAAGCTGTGCATCGGGGCCCTCCCTGGTGGAGCAGCGGGATGGAGCGCAGCACTGCGAAGCCAGAGCTGTGGCAACTTCAGTAGAGTTCCATCCCTACCCTGGAGGTGACCCACAGGGCGCCGCAGACCTCTCTTGTCTCCCCGCTGCTCTCCTCAGCAGTGGACTTCGTCGATCTGCCTGCTCTGCTCCCCGCTCTGTCTCTGGTGAATCCTCTCACCGCCCCTGAGCCTCTGGCCTGCACCCCTGTTCTATATGCATAAATAAATAAATAAATAAATAAATCTTAAAAAAAAAAAAAAAGACCTGTGCGTCACTTGGTGGAATCTTCAACACCTGACTTTCACTCAAATTGTGGCCTTTGAGTTCCGCAGGGCCGAGGTCTTTACTAGAAACACAGGTCCCTGTTCTGCTATCACAGATTCCAGGAAACCACATTCCAGTCGGTCCTGTTCTGAGTTCACTTCCTCCTTCTAGTCCTGTCTTCCCTCTCACTCCTCTCCTCCTCTCCTCCCCTTACCTTTTCTTTGCTGTTGTTGTTGGGGAGGGGGGAGGGCTGGAGATCTCTCTTCTTTGAGTCTGTCCATGAATTTTGGAAGGATGTTTGAGGAAATGCAAGTAAGAGCAGCAGTTGGTTAAAAGTAATTTTGTGTGTGTGGTGTTTTTCTTTTTGTATTGTCAGTTTGTCACCTTAGACAGGCCTCAGCAGTACCACCTTGTAAATTCACACCTGTATACACCTGTATATCCTGCTTTACGCTCACCGCCAGAGTTCTAGGTTTCAGTCCTCCCTGGCGGCCTAGGAGTCGAGGAGTGGAGTCGAGGGGTCGAGTCTCAGCACTGTCATCACTGTGACCAGCGTTCGATCCCCGGCCAGGGAGCTGACCCACGGGGCGCAGCAGACCTCTCCTGACTCCCCGCTGCTCCCCTCAGCAGTGGATTTCAGTCATCTGCTGTTTCTGCTCCCCACTCTGTCTCTGGTGGGCTCACCCCCACACCTCTGGCCTGTACCCCAGCTCTTGTATGCATAAATAAATAAATTTTTAAAAAGTTCTTTTCCATTGAAGGGCTTATGCACGAGAATATGTTTTGTGTTGATATGTCAGATGGCAGAGACCATTTAGAGCAGGTTTGGCAGTCCTGGAGTGCCCCTCACCATGCCCTGTCACAGCGTCACGTCATCAACGTCAACCAGCCTGCAACGGCCATTGGTTGACTCAGCGATTGTGAAACTGGGGCTACAGGGACCCCCAACGCTCCCAGCTCACAAGCATTGCCCAGATCCCAAGTGTGCGCCTCATGCCCAACGCTGTGTCCGGGCAAGTTGCATGCGAGCTTGGGACCATGATCCTCTGAGATGCGCCAGGCTTCGTCTTGGTGGGGGTGCGTAGTGATACCTCAGCTGGTCTGTTGCTAAGCACCCTTTGTTTTCAGTAGGACAAAGCTGCCTTCTAGTGAAGATGAATAGAAGCCAAACCAGATTGATCTTGGCAGGAACTGTGGGGGCTGAGGTTGAGGGTGAGCAGGATTAGCTGCTGTTGGCAGGAGATGGGGAGTGGAGCCCGCTGACTCTGGTAGAGGTAACCTGGCTCACCAGTTGGCTTCCTACTACCACCGGGAAACAACACAGGGCAAACTTTAAGAACTGGGAACTCTGTCCTGACGGAGGAAATCCCTAAGTGAGCTTCCATGTAAAGTTGAGGCCCGTGAGGTGGTGATGGGCAGCGAGATCGACAATGTCCCCCCAGGATGCATATCTGCGTGGACTCGCCAACCTTGACCTGATTTGCAAAGTGCGTCTTTGCCACTGTGGCCATGCTGAGGTTGGTGGATGGTGCCAGGACCTTTGGCAGCAGCGTGTACCCGGTGACCTTGGACCGGAACAATGTTCCACATTCATGCAACCTCCATAAAAAGGTGAGGTCATACTGGATTAGCCTGGCCCTAAATTCTATGACCACTGTGCTTTTTTAAAATTTATGCACACATGAACTGGGGTATAGGTCACAGGTGTGGCGGTGAGAGGACTCACCAGAGACAGAGTGAGGAGCAGAGCATGCAGATTGACAGAAACACACTGCTGAGGGGAGCAGCAGGGAGACAGGAGAGGTCTGCTGCGCCCTGTGGGTCACCTTCCTGGCCGGGCATCGAACTCCTGCTGCAGGGGCTGCGGATGGCTTCATAGTGCTGTGCTTTAACCTGTCGCCCCACCAGGGAGGGCCCAACCGGTGTTGGGCCCAACTTTTTTTTTTTAAGAGGAGGGGAATTAAAGCATGAAACCATCAAGACTAAACTGTAAGCACTACCGTGTTTATAAGAGCTAGGACACCGGCAGCCTCACTGCCCTAACAGATGGTCGGGTGGAGGAGATGGGGCCTCTTCACAGGCTGCAGAGACAAAAAGTAGCTACTTAGAGCAAAGTGGTGGGACTTCGGGGCATGAGGTGGGTCTAAAGCAGATCAGAGCGCCCAGACAAGTGGTGGATGCTTGGCCAAAACAACACAGATATAAAAATGAACAGATAGGATCAGACCCGGTGAGGGGGAGGAGAAAGGGATGGGAGGATATAAGGGGGGAAAGGCAACATCGTCATTAAAAACAAGTGAAGTGGGGACCCTTCCTGGTGGCGCAGGGCTTAGGCTCAGCACTGGCAACCAGTCGCAGCCCCTGCAGCCTGAGTTCAGTCCGCGGCCAGGGAGGGACCCCAGGGCGCGGCAGACCTCTCCTGACCCACCCGCTGCTCCCCTCAGCAGTGGACTTCATCCATCTGCCTGTTCTGCTCCCCACTCTGTCTCCGGTGAATCCTCTCACGGCCCCCACACCCCTGGCTTGTACCCCAGTT